CGGTCTCCAGGCTCGGCTCACCCCCCGCCTCGGCCCGGGGCGCTTCACACTGCCCGGCGGCGGGTGGATTGGAGGAAAACCTGGCTTAAAAAGTTACCGCTGCCCCTGCGCGGAGAGAGCCCAGGGCGCCCTGCCGCCGCCGCGGGGCTTACGCGCAGCGGGCGGAAAGAGCGGGGCCGCCCCCGCGGCGCGGAAAGGGCCCCGCGCAGCCCCGCGCCTCTGTTTCCCTATTGTTGTGAGGCGGCGGATCAATTGTCACCCGCGCTGTCACCTAAGGAGCAATGATTCCGATCCGTCTTGGCATCTGATCTTATTCTAATGCGTTAAATTGGGTTCACTTTTGCAATTACGGCGGGTCTGACTGCGCGGGGTTGCATGACAACTCGCACTTTCATCGGGTTTGGCAAAGCGAGCTTGCTCCGTGCATCCGTAGATCAGATCACATCAGATCAGCGCCAAGTTTGCTGTTTAGCGGCTCCATTTGAGAGGCTTTTTCTGAAAGTGGGAAGGGCTGATACGGTCCACGGCTGGTTCAGTGCGATTTGAAGAATAAAATAAAATAAATTAATGTGTGGAGCCGGCAGGAGCGCGGGCTGTACTGCGCGGGCACGGGCGCAGTGACGCGCCGGGACGCGCGCAGCTCCGCGCAGGGTCCGCAGCCGCCTCCCGGCTCTCGCCTTTCTGCAATCTCCTAATATGCGCTTTGCTTTATTAGTTTTATTTACAACCGGCTCCCCATTAACACCTCACCTGATTACTGAGGAGCTGAGACAGCTAATCAAGGAAATCCAGCAGGCTAGCTAGTAGAGAGGTGGGATTTATTGTTTTGTTTCCATTCGTTCATTTTTATTATTTATTCGGTTTGTTCTGAAAAAATAGTTTGGCGCTCAAGCCGCAAACAAGGGGCAGGTAGGAGCGGCGCTGGCGACACGTCGGGGGAAGAAATTCTCGTGGATTCTCCGTTTGGGGCCGCGTGTCGTGGGAGCCTGGCGGGGGGATCTCTCCTCCACGCAGCTTGTTTATTTTAATTAACATGGGGCTCCTCCGCTAGCAGCAAGGAACAACCTCCATCTACTGGCTAGAGCACTGCGTCTCCTCTCCACCCCAGCCCCATCCCGCATCCCGTTAGGAGGGCGCAGTTTGGAGGAGCGTTGGGGTCCCAGGTAAGCGCCCCCCGCGCCCCGCGCTTCTCGGCGGGCCGCGTTTCGAGCAGCGCCGGGGGTCCCCAGGTGTATTCGCGGGCAGCACTGCGGGCATATGCGTCTTAATCCGGGAAAGCAGCAACTCGGGAAGACTGAGCCTTTCGGCTTGATAAAAGGGAGGCTATGTCCTTTCCTCCTGCCTTCCTTCCTTCCGTTCTTTCTTTCATTTCTCCCTCTCTCTCTCTCTCTCTCTTTTTTTTAGTTATTATTTTATTTTGTGTTTAAGGGAATGGCCTCCTTCACCTGCCCACGAATCCAGGTTTTCCAAAACCGACAAAATATGAAAATTTCCAATGGTTTTATTGCAACCGGAGTGCGAATAAGCTTAGGGTTAATTACGGACAAATAACGAGCGCGGGTCGCGCTGGACCATAATCTTCCTCTCTCCTCTCCTCCCGCCGCCTGGTCACTTGTCCGCGCTCAGTGGCAGCGCTTGACTATGAAAATGGGTGTCTAGGATTGCCGTGAGAAGCACCTAGTTGTTTGTTATTTAAATACCCTCTCCTTAAGCAAATGAGTTGGTGGCTCAGTTTGCACGTTACCAGGTTGTGGGCAGGTAGAAGCACTTGGAGGTTTGGGGTTTATTTTCTAATTCGATAGCGATTCTGACTGAGGCGCCGCAGAGCTGCCCGGCTCGGCGGGGAGGCTGGTGCGGCGTGTGCGGGGGATGCGGCGGCTCCGCGGGGCTGCAGAGAAATAACCCGAGACTCGTCTGTGGGCACGGGGCGCTCGGGAGCGGAAAGGGCGGTGTTGCCGCCACATGTTGGTTCTGACACTATCTGACACTAGATGCAATTGTAAACAATTTCGGAATCCTTCTCCCCCCCACCCTCTCAATTTCTTTCTTTTTCTTTTTTGCTTTTTTTTTTCATTTTTTTCCCTTTCTTTATTTTCAGTACCCTCGGCGTAAGCGTCGCGAACAGCACTAGCTGCGTTCAATGCGACCCCAAGGCTTCAGTCCCATTGAGATTTCCCCTCCTCGTGTCTAAAGGCTCGCACCGAGCCGGGGTTCGTCGCTGGCAGCCCCAGACTCAGCCCTAGCCCGCAGAGCCGAAGCCGGCGCTGGATGTAAACGCAGCCCCCGCTTCGGCCACGCGCCTCCCGGGCAGCAGCATCGCGCTGGTCCTGGCATTGCTACGCGTTACATTTCTGGAAATGATTAAGCCGGGAGTCTCTGGGAAAGGCCAGGGAGCTCCGCGGACCGGTGTGAAGTTTGAGCGCTGGCAGCGCCCTCGCCATCAACCCCAAATAAGCCTGATATGAGACAGACTAAAGCAAAACCATTTTGCCTAAAGAACTCCCTCTCCACCCCCCCTTCGCCCGAACACCCTCCCCTTTCTCCTAATTATTGTCGGTCAATTATTAATTTGCATGTAGATCTTGTCCTAAATCCTCGCAACTAAACGCGAGATCCGTTCACGCTATAACAGGCTTTAGAGGCAGCCCGTGGCCAAGGAGAAGAAGGGGGGCCCTGGAGCAGCGCGGCTCCGCACGCAGGAAACGCTGCCGTGTCCCCAGGGGAAGGGAAACCCTGGCAGCGCCCGGCGAGCTGCGACATTCGCGGAGTATTGCGCGCCAGAGAGGCTGCCTCGGCGGCAGGAGGCACAAGCGCTTTGCAGTGGGAAAGCGCGCTCAGAAGCCCAGGTGCTGGGGCAAATAAAAACTCCCAGGGGACAGTATCCCAGATTCAGATTTTAGATGCCCCCCTATGTCCTTTGTGAGCTCTTCTCTTCCCCTCCCAGCAAACCAGCAAGCCCGTCGTGCTCTAACGGCAGCCTCTCGCTACCAGTGCGCCTTGGAGCGGCGGTACCGTTCGCAGCGCGCGAGGAGACCTGAGCAACGTTGAGATAGATTCACCTTGATGCACTACAGGCCTTTTGGAAATGGAGAAGTCACATTTGATGCCAGCGACAAACTTTTAGTGTCCCTTTAGGTAAGAAGAGGTTTGCCAACATCAGGATGCTAATCAGAGAGCGCCTAGGAGAGCGCCGGCCTCTCTGCGGCGGCGGCGCTCGCTAGGAGTGGATCCTTAACAGTAGCTGATGGAGCAGAAAGGACGGAGCTCTAATTAATTAAGTGTGCCCAAGTGGAGGAGCTCCAGCCACCGCCGCATTCCGCATGGAGTCCGCCCAGCTATTCCCGGCGGCGGGCGCCGC